TTTTTCTGTCTCTGTTTGTTAGTGTGGAAAGACTCCTTACTGTTTTGTTTGTCTTTGTTCTCTGTTCTTTTAAAATTTGCTCCACGTTTGTTTTTGTAAGTTCAATTCAATTCAATTCAAGTTTATTTATATAGCGCCAAATCACGACAAGAGTCGTCTCAAGGCACTTCACATAATAAACATTCCAATTCAGGTCAGTTCATTAAGCCAGTCAGAAATAATGTTTCCTATATAAGGAACCCAGCAAATTGCATCAAGTCACTGACTAGTGTCAGTGACTTTACAGCAATCCTCATACTAAGCAAGCATAAAGCGACAGTGGAGAGGAAAACTCCCTTTTAACAGGAAGAAACCTCCAGAGAATCCTGGCTCAGTATAAGCAGCCATCCTCCACGACTCACTGAGGATCGAGAAGACAGAGCAGACACACACACACACACACACACACACACACACACACACACACACACACACACACACACACACACAAGTAATGTGTCTATAGTTACATTGTGATGTCTTAGTAAATATTGTATTTGGTGAAAGATAAACTTTATTGTATTTATCCTAGTGGATCTATAATTAAACGGATAAACTAGTAGTAGCACATCAAAAGTCAAGGAAAGCAAAAATTATTATCAGGAGAGAGAGAATGTTTAAGTGGTTAGCAGCAGTGTGCTAGTCGATGGCCCCCTCCATGAGGCCACCACAGCTCAGCAGAACGTCGTTGTCGCTTCTTCTGGGGAGAAAAACACTTACAGAGAAAATAAAGTTAACAGCTGAAATTGCACTAAATAGTACAGTTAAAGAGCAGACTGTAGAATAAAGCAGTAGAGTGTGAGAAGTGGTCAGTGTATCCTCCAGCAGTCTAAGCCTATAGCAGCATAACTACAGAGATAACTCTGGATAATATATCCTATTTAGATGGAGGCATGTTGGAGGCAGGGCAAGGGAGAGCCGTCTTTACCGACTGTACACTCCACCTCCCGTGTACCACGTGTTGTTACCACGTCAGAGAGGATGCTGCAGGAATATTCTTCCTGCTGCAAGATATTAGAAACTTTGAGATTCACTGGTTGCTTTATTTCTCTCTCGCTTTATTGCTGCTTTTATTTTAGGAGCAGCAAGACAAATGGAAGTAGAAATTTGGAGTAACAGGAAATTGTTAATTCAATTCAGAAATACTTATCAAGTATCAAAAACACCCAACACAGAGTGACAGTTTAACAATGTTTATTAAAAGGGTAGAGACAGGCTAGGTCAGGAGGCAGGAGGTGGTTACCAGGGGGTCTGAAGTGGGAATAGTCTGATAGGGAAGTCCAAAAGGCAAAGTTGGGAACGGAGCAGGATCGGAGCCAGAGGATCAGAGATGCGGCGGAGCAGACAGGGTAATCCAAGAGACGAGGTCGGGAACGGAGCAGGGTTCGGGATCTGAAGACAAGGTGAGTAACAGGCTGGAGAATTTACTGGCAAGGTTTTCAATAATCTGGCGGTGACTGGGTAGCTGGATGGCTCTTATATAGCAGGGGGAGCAGGTGTGATGAATGAGGTTGATGACAGGAACAGGTGGAATGAATGGAGCTGATGAGGTGCGGGCTGAGGTTGCTGTGGCAACAGGTCACGGCAGGAACAGGATCATGACAGGGGTAGGGAGAAAGAGTTTCCATAGCGACCGCAGCATTCCACATTTCTTCTGAGGGGAGTTTACTCTTCAGCCTAACAGGCTTCAAGGGCACCAGATTCAGATTGCAAGAATTGTTTTGGGTACAGGCAGAGATTATTTCCTCTCTGCCTTAGAGTTCTGTCGGTCTTCAACCCCTCCAGGTCCAATAATGGCGTTATCAAACTATTCCAATCCGTGCTGATCCGTCAACTCTCCTTGATCGAATCAACCTTCTGAGCCAGAGCCTGAATCTCAGCCAAAGTTCCAAGCTTACGACTCATCTCGACAATTATCTGAGCCTGTGAGTTTTCAGCACGATGCATTTCATCCCTGAGCTCCGGGATTGAGCCAATATTCCTCGAAAGCTTGTTAATTTTCCGGTATGTCAGGTAACCGCTCAGGCCAAACAGCAGAAATCCTGACACCAACACGACAAATATCCAGACATCTTCAGAATCCTCTACAGACAGTTGAGACAGGCATATCAGGATCCACTGTTTCCAGGAGTCCATGATATGCCCAGCTGGCTCTGTCCCAGAGGGGCATCTGGGAGCCCCTTCTCCCGTTCTCATCGTTGAAAAGATTTTGTCAATCACGTTGAGAGACCAACTGACCAGATCCATGTTTAATAATTTCCAGTTTCCAGTAAAAACTGCAGAGAGCACAGCACAGGCAGACAGGACACAAAGAGCCTTGGGAAAAGCAGGGAGGGAGGGGAGAAAAAAGCGTCTGTACTCTCCAAGAGCCGGAAGAAGAAGAATATATAATAAGTATTTTCCTTACCTGCTCTACATGTTTATGTGTCCTAGAACAAAAAACAGGACATTAGAGCTGCTAATCCAGTGAGAGTAACATGAGGTAACATGTTTGCTGTTCCCTGTGGTCTCATCAAATCCAAATTCTAATCTGTGGGCTTATTTAAGGCTGCATTTTAAAGTTTTCATGAAACCTTCAAACAGTAGATAAAAACCTTTTAGTTCTCAGCTTCAAAAGAAACCAGAAGCATTAAATAAATCTCGTTTTGAGGCTAACCTTCAGCGTTCAGAGCAATGCTGATTATTCTGTGTCTATAAATAGTTGTAGAAATGGTAATTATTTTAATAGAGTTTTGAAAATGCAACAAGTGCATTACATCAGGATTTTATAACAAAAAGCATGAATGGAAGTCGAGCAGAAAATTTCAATGAACGTTTTTTGTTTTCCGTTCTGCAGTTTTTTGTGTTATTGAAGCTTTGGAGGAAGGTCAAACCAAAGATCTGGTCAAGTTTGGTGGCGATAAAGACATACAAATCTAAAGAAGACGATGTTCTCTGGGGTTTAGGATAATGAGATTACTGTGATGATTCAAAGTACCGTGGCTTAGGCCAGGGGTGTCAAACTTTAATTCACACTGGGCTGAAATTAAAAATGGGCCAAAGTCAATATTTATTGAAAAAGTGGCAGCAAATGTGCACATTTTCCTTTATTTACAGATTTATAAAGTTGAACCTTTTCATTTGCAAACACACTCATTTTTGTAATGTGGAACAATCAAATTACACACGAGCAAATAGATTTAATGCTGAAGGTTCTCAGTCATCCAGGTCATGGTAATCCAAAAGGGTTCAAATGAAGGCAACTGGACTTCTTTGGTTTCTTGAAGATGTTTTGCTTCTCATGGGAAAAGCTTCATCAATTCTTGAAGTGAACTGTTGTTCTTGAACTGACAAAACTTCTCAGATGAAAAATGAAACATCTTAAAAAAACAAAGAAGTCCAGTTGCCTTCATTTTAACCCTTTTGGATTCAAATTGATTTTAAATAAAGCACACATAAGTGGTATTCATTACTTATGTCTCAGTTTTTTCATTCTTTTAATTCCTGAAGTTGTATATACATATATATTTATATATAATATTTTATATACAGCATATTTTTAATCTTTTAAGTATTTCTATTTTATGTTATCTTCTTGTTTATTCTTTCTTATACTCCTCTTTTTTGTACCTGTAATTAATGTTATGGCTGCTCTAACACCAAGCTTTCCCCACTGAGGGGCAATAAAGGGATTTTCTGTTCTATTCATCTCTCTGTAGTCTGCCTAGTTGTTGTTTAAAAGAAGGTTAGTTTTTTTCACAGGCCAACAACAAAAATAAGAAATACAGTAATTATCATAAATGAAAATGCAATATACTTATTAACTTTCATGCTTTGGAGCAGAAAAAGTGCATAAAACCTAAATAATTCGAGCTCAGCTTGCTCCACTCTGATTTACTGTGATGCTCACCTGTTCCAGCCAGACACCTGCATCTCTGGGGTTGGGCTCTGAGCTGATGAAGATGTTCATCAGTGAGACTCGTGTGTTGTTCTGTTCATCTTCATCACAGACAACAGTTGCTCACACAGGTTTGTGCTGCTGAACATGGAGAGAATCGGAGCAGCTTGACCACACAGTTGGTCGGTGTGCCGGGGAGGAGAGATAAAAACTACAGCAGCCACAGAGTCATACTGACTGTAGCGTGTCGCTAAACTGGAGTTCAATTATCTCGGTCTAGAAGTTGGTTGGTGCGCTTTAAAATCCATTTCTGGGCTTCAAAGTTGGGAAATTGCTGAGTAAACTCGGCGCTGAGTAAGAGGAACGTTTTCAGTTTGACCGAGGCTGAGGAGGTAACGCTGTAGACGCAGAGTAGTAGCGTCGATACTAATGAAGCAGAAAGGAGGGGGACGCTTCGTCAGACGTGCTAACGCCACAAAGCACTATGGGTTTTGTAGTCTTTGCAACTAAATCGGCCGGCCAAATACAAATTGACCACAGGCCAAAATTGGCTCGAGGGCCTGAGTTTGACACCTGTGGTATAGGACCTGAACATTACACCAGACACAGATGGCAAATTTAAATAAATCACTACAAAAAAAAGAAAGTGGGGTAACTTTGTTTAAACAACCATTCTTGTGCAGGTGCAGATTCACACTGTCATGTCTGCAATCCCAAAATGTAAACCTTTAAATGGGACAAAGCTCTAATGACACAAAAGGCAAAAAACTTCAGAGCGTATGAACTTGATGAGGGTTAAGTTCAAAAGGCAGAGTCGACACAGGCAGACTTGGGCTCAAAAACCAGGAGCTGAAGACATAAATTATGTCTGGCATGGGCGGAGCAGAACGGTGTGGTTGCAGAGACAAAAACAAGGTCAAGAGCTTGGTGAAAAACACGACCTGTGGAATGCTGGACAGCTGGGACGGTGGCTGCAGACAGCCTGGTGCTATGGGAGAGACTGAGGAGATCTGTGGGCCACAGCTAAAGCTACAAGCTAAGGTACAAGCATGGCTGCAGCGAACAGAACATGAACCAGACAGAATTAATTCAATAATGTGTTTATTAAAAATATTAGATAAAAGGTTTTAAATATTCAGACAAGTCAATAAAACCTATTTGAAGGAAGTTCTTCATGTCAAACGTTTGTTTTTAGTTTAGATGAGATGAGTCCGTGGTTCTGTCCTGAGCTGATGTGGTGTCCTCTACCGAGGGCTGACTGTCTGAAGGACAGAAAAGGTCAAAGGTTAACAACATCCGTATTGGTTTTTGATAGACCAATACAAACATCTTCCTCATTCCTCATTCTCCTCGACCTCACCTCTTCTTTCTTCCTCATTGATGCTCTCCTGACTAGAAGCTTCAGCACCCGGATGGGAGTTCCTCTTAATTACTGCTCCCTCCCACAGGGTGGAGGAGTTCTGGCTCGAGCGCAGCAGCTGGCGGGGGGGTGTCTTATGGTCTCCGGGACTGAAGGACTGAGAAACCCCCGATCCTCCTCTGGACAAACCGATCCCCCAGCCGTGACGGGAGCCCAGCTTACGGCGCCCACCGGACCCGGAGCGTGTGGCCAGAACACTGGGGACGGAGACGTCTGGTTCTGGCTGAGATAGAGCTTTTCTCACAGAGGATGGAGAGACGGGAGCACTGATGGGGTCTGAAATCACAAAGTTTACAGTCGGCGTTACACTGATCAAAACCTGGGGTGTTTTTCAAACATCAATGTCCTTTTAGGAACTCTTAAAACACAGGTGCCAAATTAAACAGGTACATGTGCTAAAAGGAGCTCAGGTTTGATTAAATGCTGGTTCGTTTTTGCTGCTGACATCAGACCTCCTCGGCGTGCTCCTGTTTGTCATTCTGCCTCACAGCCACTGATCCATGAGGGAGGAAATATTGAAAGCTGCTTAATGATGCTTAACAGTTCATTTCAAACTACAAATTTTGTCGCTAATTAACTAGAAAATGAAAAATGCTGACAACAGGGTGTTGATATGACTGGTGTGTAAAATGTAAACACACTTCTTGAACCCTCAGAACCTGTGCACATGTTGGGTACATGCAAACCCTCCACTGTCAGGATTTGTATGTGGATGTGAATAACAGAGGTTTTTTTGGGTTTGCAACATCACTGCCCAACAAAACGCTCTGACATCACATGTGTGACCTGTGTTTACACTCACTAGCTTGTTTTAACGAGCTCAATTACTGCTCTGTATAGAGGAACACAGGTTAACGTAGCACGTTAAAGACACTTATTGTACACCACACAGTGGTGGAATGTTTTTTGGCAAAGAGGCAGAAGATTTGGGGAACTACTGCCACCTACAGGCTTGGGATGCACATGAACGTGCTTCAAAATGAACTGGATTTATTTATTTTTTTGCTGAAAACAAGGTGGTGTGGACCCACATCTTTTCCTTGGCGGGCGGGGGAGGATGTTCGGTGTTACAAAAGTCCATGGCCTTGGATACACCCCCCCTAGTGGCTGGCTGCAATATAGGATTGAAGCTCCACCTCCTTAATTTTCCTTGGAAGAATTTTTTTACATATAATAACTGTTGAGTCAAGTATCTGCATGCTCAGAAACTCTTTTTATGTACAAAACACTAGGATCGCATGCAGGTCAGCAGGTGGGACTTGCAGTTCCACATTATGAGTGCTCAGCCTCTGTGTGTGTGTCTGTGTGTGTGTTCTCATTTGCAGTTGACATCTACTAATAGTCGGTTCTTCAGGAGACCATGTGACTTTATGAATCCAGTTTCATTTCTATCTTCATCGATAAGAAAAAAAGGAAATATCTAAACCTGAGGGTTTGGTGATAAACCTGTTGGTGTGGTGCCGTAGCAACAGACAACTCCTCCACATCACCAACGCTGCTGAAGTCACCACATTTAAAGCATTACACTCACAACTTGAAACAACAGCATTTTTTACTGATGTTACATGCTGAGTTAGAGATTTTCAATAAATGCAGAGCTCGTGTGGAGCAAAGGTTCACTTTCCTTTTTCACCTTGTACGGCGTGGGTTTTGAAACTAGTTAAAACACTCATGGCACCCAACCAAAAACATGTGCCCTTTACATGAATATGGCAGCAGCACATGCTGCAGTTATTATTAAAAAGCATAAATAATAGAGTGTGGATTTTTTTTTTAATTAAGTGCACATTAGTGAACTGGAAAACTGAAAAAGGTGAATGCTGTTTGGTTTTCAAGCCTATTTAACAAAAGGAAGAGGAATTTGTGAGAAATCTCACTGGCTTTTCACCGTGGAGAGATTCTTCTGCTGTGTCGAGTCTTGTCGCTGCACCGAATTAAAACCAGCATTCCTCTTGACAAAAAGAAGAGCTGCGAGTTTGGGTGGTCAGGGTTTCACGGTGATCACAAAAGGACCATTTATTTTATTGGAGTGATTTTTACTACATTGATTAGAGACAAAGTTTCAACACAAATGCAGGTTTGCTGCTTTGAAAATGTCTCCAGAGACATTTGTGCAGCCGTCTGCTTATAGACGCGTCAAAAAGTAACCAAGCCTCACAAATCTCCTCCTTTCAACATGTGGTTAGCAGAGAATGCTAGCTTCAGTGAGTCGAAGCTTTTTACAAGGAGAGATTTAAGGAGATGAGAGCGCTATCAGTGCAGACTGCACTTGGCAGTCATGAGATGATTTGTATGCACGCCTGCAGCCTCGCTTGATTGCATGAGCGTTCAGCCATATCTTTGTGAAAACCAGTCAGCTAATGTTTGGGAAATTGTCAGTCTGAAAAAAGAGGGGTTGTATACTGGTGTGTGTGTGTGTGTGTGTGTGTGTGTGTGTGTGTGTGTGTGTGTGTGTGTGTGTGTGTGTGTGTGTGTGTGTGTGTGTGTGTGTGTGTGTGTGTGAGTGTGAGATCTCACCAGGCTTTGGTGTGTGTGTGTCTGCTGTAAAGTCATTGCTGTCGGCTAGGTTTTCCACGCTGCCCACGGCGATGAAGAGGGCGCGTCCTCCTCCTCCTACTCCTCCCCGAGGTTTGATTAGTTTCTTCATTCTGTCTGCAATCCAGTTAGATTTTCTGTGAGGACACGAGGGACAGAGACCTTTTACCAACAGGGGTGTGTCTGCACAGAAGTGCACTAGTTACTTTTCCTAAAACATGTGGGATGTCAGCGTTTAATCCTCAGTCTCCTCTCAACGTTTAATCTGGATGAGTTTTTAATGATGAGAGAAGTGAGAAAGCAGCAGTGTCGCTAACTTTTTATCTTTTTAATTCAGCGCCAGCGCAACAACGTCGAGTCTTCGCTTTAATGGTTTCAGATAAAATTTGTGACTGAGATGAAACTGAGTCAGATGTTTGGCAGAAAGCTTTGACTTCCACAGAGTTGTCTGACCCATGAATTAATGCCAATCACCTGTTGCTCACTAGAGAATGAGTGTTAGTGGGTTTCTGTCTGTGGGTGCAAAAGTTAAAGGGATTTAATGTGCAGGAAGGCCAATTAGAATGTAATATCGGTATAAACTTTTATCACAAAGGACCAGAGGTAAAAATGTGTTTGTATAGCAGGACTGGTTCACTTTCTCTGGATTAACAACTTTAAAACTTTAATTCAATACAAAGAAGAATGGCATAAATCTCATTTTCAAACAGATTATTGTGAGTTTATACAAAACTATAAAGTAGAAGAGAATTATGAGGATGAAAAAGGAATTTATTTTGGACGTTTATCAAATAAGCTGTCAGGATTTTTACATTTAATTTTTGAACCGGAGTGTTTCATTTACCAAACAACAGAAACAAAAGACTAACAGTTTATATGCATTTATACTGAAATGTTGTAAAAAATAAAGTATCCATTATATTATTATTCTCCTTGAGTCTAAATCGCATCCTTTTAGTTTTATAGAGGCTCCTGCTGCCACAATAAGATGTTCTAAACTTTAAAAGTAGATCAAATTAAATGTAATTTAACATAAAGGTTAAATTAATTTGTGCATTTTTTGTGTAAATTTAGACGCTTGTAGCTAAATATCTCTAATAATAATATTAAAAATAATGGATAACACAGAGATAGAAAACTTTAATGCAACTATAATTTCTGTGTTGCATCTGTAGGAACACTGAATGGAGCCAGGCCTTATTTTAGCCACATAAACACAACAGGAAAGGGCTTTTATTAATAATTTTGGTGTAGCTGAAGAGAGGCTCAGAGCTGAGCTGCTGTTTCTCCTGAGAGAAGCGAGTCAGTTCAGGTGTTTGCTGCACCTGTCCAGGTCGCCTCCCAAGCGAGGCTTTTATGGAATGTTTATTCTCCAGACGAATCCGGGCAGACGGAGGAGGAGAGATTATGTTTCAAGTCTGACTTGGGAGAACCTTTCATTCCCTGGAGGAAACAGGAAACGCTGGCTGTGGAGCTCTAAGCCGATACCCTTAGAGTGAAACATAGTTTGGGGGGATTGTTTTTAAGTAATGATTCTCTTGAAGGAAACACCTTTTAATATAAAACCCTTCACAGTAAAAAAATATATTTGGGACTCTTTAAGTGACATTTATTTTAAAGAGCAAGTCACTCCAAATCAAATTTTTTTTGTTGATAAACTATATAAATGAGTGTCTGATCGTGCTGCAGCCACGTGTAGTCAATAATTCGGCACTTTAGTGCATCTTAGTTAAAATTAAAATATTCTGCCTAAAACTGTCAGCGATGCACCGTCGTTAGGCAAAAACTTTGCACTGCATTCGAATTTAAATCTGTCATCGCTATTGGCTAAGAGGTACACTATGATGTTCGATGGTACATTATGATGTCACAATGTTGTGAGTGTGTGTATTTGTTAGCGGCTCCGCCCTCTCGGTCTGCTAGTCAACAGCATTTGTTGCATTTTTCAAACAGGAAGTGGGAGTTGAGTAAGAATCTGGTAGGGGGTGACTTGCTCTTTAATGACGACTTCAGAGCTATGTTTACATGGCAACTGCTAACTATCCACCTGGAGAACTCTGAGTTACACCTGTGGGCATTCTGTACAGGGAGAGAAAGAACAACAGGTTTGTTCAGCTGCTACAGAAAAACAAGATTCTTACTCTGTTCTGAAATGCTGAATTCGTTACATCAGACTAAACGATTTTCTGGCTGGTGCTCCAGCTCTAAATTGCTTAACTGCATTCACGCAAAGTGATGCAATCCTTTGTTTTTGACTCAGACCTTGGAGGAGTTCATAATTTTGCTTTTGTTTAAAGTAGTTTTTGGGGAAATTAGCATGTTTTCATCTGACACTTCTGTCTCCACCTACTCTACATGATGTTTTTTATTAAATCTGTGTGTGATTAGATTTGTCTACTTGGCCTTGCTGGCTGGAGGCTGCATGTTGGGCTCCAGGACTCGGTACTGATCCATGATCTTCTCCACCAACTTCTGCTTCTCTCGGCGGAGTTCGCTCAGTTTCTCCCTGAAAAAAACAAAAGAAAGCACATCACCAGGAAGAGCAGGGATGTCTGATTCATTCAATGGCTGTGTTATCGACTCGTATCAGTGAGATCGCTCTGATTTTTCTGTGTGTGACGCGGCTGCTCGAGCAGTTTTATTTTCAGCCAGCGTATCAGAACAGAGTTGATCTCGGCATGTCGTTGCTGAGCAGAGATGCAGCGACAGTGTGCACAAATAAAACCAGGACATTTCTCAGAAAGCCTGTAGCCTGTTTACTGAGAAGGAAATTGCAAAGTTGCTGACAGGATGAGCCGATTGTTGCTGACACACAGATAAAGGATGTTGTGGAGATGAACTGCAGCTTCATGTGAAAAACTCTGGAGATTTAGGACATGTTAGCATCATGGCAGCTGTGGATGCAGATAAAGGTCTGCTCCTTCACTCCACTGTGGATCGGGCTGGAATAAATCAACAGCTGCCATGCAGATTGTCATTAATTTACATGAAATAATGTTGTGAGTGGCTCAAAGCAGGAAACGCTGTGACGCTGACATCATGGCAGCACTCTAATTCATGGTATAATTGTGTGATGAAGCACTGAATAGTGATGTGAAACTTTGTTTATTTAACCATTCTTAAGTATGGGTTTTGTAGCATAACTGTATTAACTAGAATTATATTGTGAAATTCCTGAGATAATAAAGGAAGCAGAGGCATTTCCAACATTTAGCTAAAGTTTGTGTGTGTGTGTGTGTGCGTGCGTGCGTGCGTGCGTGCGTGCGTGCGTGTGTGTGTGTGTGTGTGTGTGTGTGTGTGTGTGTGTGTGTGTGTGTGTGTGTGTGTGTGTGTGTGTGTGTGAGAGAGAGAGATAGAGAAGCTTAACCCAGCAGTCATTGGGTTGTAGATCGAGTACCACCTGCACAGACAGGACCGACAAACATAAACATAGATACGATGCAATAATTTCCGACGAGTGTGTACAGTCACAAACATTTGAGCTCTAATCAATGCAGAGTTCCAGTATGAGTCAAATCAAAAAAAGATCCTTGTCTGACTGTGAAACAACTCCACACAGCATTTATAACCACCATGTTCTGCTGAGTAGCTTGTTTAGGATCTGGAGGCACCACTAGATGCCGCTTGTCCATTTCTGTTCTGTTCTGTACTTTTAAAGCTCTCATTCACTTGTTTTTTTTTTTTTCATTGCATTTGCAGTGGTCTGTAGTATAAATGAATGCCTTGCAAATCTTTCTCTGTGGGAATAAAAAGCTCTGGTGATCCTGTTTCAGGACGTAGAAGACAGCCAGAGGAGGGGGGAGTAGGAAACAGCAGGATTTGGAGTTTTACTCAGATATATTCATGATATTCTGACATCTCTCCTCTTATTGGCTAACAGCAATGCAACTCTTTCATTGCTTCCGTTCTCTCTGCAACGTTGATGTTTTATCTCCTCAAATAATTCAAGCCTGGAGGAGTTCTGTCATGTTATGGAGTTGCTAATGGTAACTGTTAGTTTCTGCTAGCCACAACATGCTCTGCTCTCTCCTGGATGCTAAAGCCTAATTTATACTTCTCCGTCAGCTCCACAAGGGAGAGATGCACACGAATTGACAGAGACGTTTTGCTCTGACTCCGTCTCCTGGGGATGTTGCAAAGCAATTCCCCGCCAGGGCAACAGAGGGCGTAGAGCTGTTCTGTGGTATCCTGTCATGTATCCAGTCCAAGATTTTACTATAGTGTGTATATTGTGAGGTTGTTTTGTATGTTAGAGACATTTTAACACAGACAAATTTGTCACTCATTCTCCTCCACCTCTTCATGCGCTCGCCATCTCTAAACCCACGTTTCTCAGCTTACTTTTCACTCCACCAGCCACGGGGGAATAAAACGTTCATATTTTTAGAGTTTTTCCACGAGGTATTCTTCAAGCTTCTCCATGTCTGCCGCTAGATATTTTTTGGCTCCCTTTATGTTTTTGTGGACGCAATGGCGTTACAGCGCAGTGTTAATTTTGTTGACAAAATATTTTCATCTTTTTTCGTCACAAAAATATATTTACAGAGGAAAATGAAACAAAATTTCAAAATAAAAGTTTGGAAAAAGACGAAGACCGTAATTAAATTGATTGACACTTTTTGTCAACGAACAAAAGACGATACGAAAATCCACGATGACGAATGTCCAATCAGAAGACAGGTAAAGATGCATGACCCAAATAAAAGGGCCAATGAACAAACTGAACAGGCGGGACTAGGTGAGAAGAGAACCAATCAGAGACCGCTTTGTTTAGAGGTGACGCTAGGCCTACATTTTAAACAAGCTCCCGGCGGGAGCCAAGCTCACTGGATATATCGACGGCATGAGAAGAAGGAATAAAATGTTAACAGCTGGGCGAAAAAGAAGAGAAGATGTGTGGGGTCATTTTCCTTATGATAACATTGAAACCAAAACTACATGCCGAGAGTGTGGACTGTCGTTCCGAGGAAAGAACACCATTTTCTCCCAGGTAAATCCACTTAAATGTTGTACACATGACAACCCAAAAAGTAATATACAGGCAAATAAAAATGTATCAACTCTGTCATGTTGGATAAAAATTCGGAAGTACTGTCTTTAGGTTAACTTTGTTAAAATCCCCTGCCTACATGAACGCCCTCAGTGTTGACCCGCTGCTGTTTGTTAGAGGCGTTCTGCAGGGGAGAGAGAGCCATGTTTACATTAGCATCAGTTGGGATAAACACTGCTGTGATGATTACTACTGTTAGCTCTCCCTTACTCAGTCTGGTGAAGTGACTCGCATGCTGCGTGGGAATTTAGCGCTAGTTAAGCTTGGTAGTTTAGACTACAGGCTACAGACAGAGTAGCGTTAATGTTCGGTAGTTGGGTCGAAGTGAGGGAGTTATACGCGACGTTAAGGTACTCGTATCTGTTGCAGACTGTAGGCCACATGCTAGCTAGAATTAGCAGCGTAGCTTCCTGATCGCTGATGCGGGACTCCAAACCGCGGCCATCTTACTCCAGGAAGCTGCCTATCAGCCCTCTATAGAAGGAGCGCCCTACAAAACAAAATATTTATTAGCCCCATCTCTGGCGTTTAAAATAAATCAAACTGTTTGGAAATCAGTAAAAAAAACGAACATGTGATGCCGTCAGTCCCATTTTAGTCCACATCTGAAGTCATTGCATGAACTTTTGCAGCCTTTTGCTGAGCACACACAAACTCTTCAGAGTGACACAATGTCTATGTCATTAATACTCCCTGCTCTCTTTGATTTACTCAGCCATCTGGCAGATGTGGAACAAAACACAAGTCGAGATGTTGCTGCTCTAGCACGTAAAATGGAAGGGAGTGTGAACCAGCGTTTTGTCTGCGTACTTGATCCCTCAGATGACAAGTTTTCCCCACTTGTAGCAGCTGCTTGCTTTCTCAATCCTACTGTGTGTCATCCCTCCTTAATGTGGCTGATGACAACATTCAGGAGCTGCTCAAGCAGGCAGAAGGGTATGTGTCTCAGACACAGGAGAACCACTCTGATCTGGAGGAACTGAATGGACCTGAGCCGGCACCACCCGCCGTCGCCTCCTCTTCATCATCTGCCTCCTCCTCCTCCTCCAGACAACCAGTCTTTAGTTTTTTCTCCAAATTTGGAACAAAGCCTAAACCAAAGTCTTCCAAGTGTAGTGTTAGACAGCAGATAAGCCAGTATAAGAAAGAGCTCTCACAGCCCATCACTTGAAAACAGGAATGGAGTTTTGGCTTGGAATGGCCTGTATTTGATATAGACAATGTGAAAATGTGACACATTTTATCACAGCCTGAAACCATTAGCATTAGATATATTGGCAATGCCAGCTTCTCAATCTTTGGCAGAAAGAGTGTTCAGTATCACAGGTGACCTCACTAGAGGGAAACGCAACCGCGCAAAGGTCACACTAGCATGAAGTGCTTTTCTCAAAATGAATCGCAGCAAATAAATATTAATACTGTTTTGTTGAGCCAGTCTTGTAACAAGTGAATATCTACAGACTCAGGTTTAACATGTTTAAATTTGCTGTTCAGGTTGAAGCTCACAGGTCCTGTACTGTACTTATTTTAGGGTGTTAACCATTTTATTGTGAAAGGTTTCTGGAAAAATGCATGTCCTCTAAGGAGCAATTATTATTTGAGTATTTCTGCATGCTAGTTTGAAAAATGCTTGTTGTGCAATTGCTAAAAAGAGCACCTTTGTAATTTCCAGTGTGTTTTTTGTTTTTAATTAAACAATTAAGTGTTAAACATGTGAAGTGTGTTTTTTTATTCAAATATTCTATGTTCTTAGCTGTGTGTACTATATCTGATCAGTGGTAGAGTTTGGACCCTGTGTATTAAATTACACTACTAGTTTTTCCGTGCTCTATACAAAAGTAGGAAATTACTTCATTAGAAAAAAATATATGTATTTTGTTGACTAAAATTGCTTATTTTTATCGACTACAATTACTTGTTATTTTCATCAACTAAAATGGGACTAAAACTAAAATAAATCTAATGACTAAATTAGACTAAGACTAAAATGAATTTTTAGCCAAAAGACTAAGACTAAAATAAAATTAAAATTTCCTGTCAAAATTAACACTGAACCCCTGCACTGCTGCCTCCCAGACTGCTGAAGGCACAGCCTTTTTATCCCAGGTGTGGGTCGTCAGAGGGATTCAGGTCAGCTGTGCTCCTCAACAGGCTGGAGAACAATAGCTGTATCGGTTCAGTTGGATATTCACTATTGTCAAAGAGAGATCAAGAGCATAATAAGGCAAGAAATGAAGAAGAAATGGCAAAAACATTGGGAGGAGGAAAGGAGGGGAAGATGGTTGTATGACATTCAAAGAAGAGTGGGAGAAATGAGAAACACTGGACGGAGTAGGAGAGAGGAGGTGATCATTGCTAGGCTGAGGTTTGGACATACTGGGTTAAATAAAACATTATTCATGATAGGGACACATGATACAGGGAAATGCGATTATTGTGGAGAAGATGAAACAATAGGTCATGTTATATTACAATGCCAGAAATATCAGGCGGAAAGGAGGACAATGGTTCACACTCTTGGTCAGCTGAAAGTGAGACTGGATCTTGTTGATTTATTGAGACAAAATTCAAGGAGTGACTGTTTTCAGATTTTATTTCGGTTTTTGAGAGAGACAAGGGTGTTTGGGAGACTTTGAGGTTTTTTTTTCCCCCTTTTTGGTTTTGTTTTGAGGCTGCTGTTCCAGACCACACTCCACACTAGTTGGTGGCGGTAATGCACCTTTGGTTGTTTGCCAACCGCCATTAAAACTCCAAAAGAAGAAGAAGAAGAAGAAGAACAGGCTGGAGGAGAGGAGGAGGAGGGGCGGTGTCGGGCTGATCACCAGGGCTGATCCTGGCTCCTGGATCACTAGAGGCCATGGCTGGAGGCCATAACAGACATTTTCACGACTACTACACCTCAGATTTTTATCCACCCCTGTTGATTCGTGTTGCGTGTGCATGTTTGAATATTCGATTTTTAAACACATTTAGTTGTTAGTTATTTGATGCTTAAAATGGCCATCATTGTGCTGAGGGAATAAGCCGAGCCTAGCCTAAAAAACACAAACAGGACATGTTGACAACAGTCGTATGTGAGTGCAGTTTAGCATCGTATTCTGGAGACCTAGCATTGCAGAACAAAATGTCCAAATGAAGTCTACCAGCTTTGTGTCATTTGACTTTCTAAACTCTGAGGGCAGCCGCTCGCTGCCAGCTCTCCGTCGACTCACCTTCCAATGACGGCTGCTCCTCCCTGACCACCTAACGGAGAGACTATCACCACAGTGCTGTGAGGTAATATCAGAACTGAAGCTAAACTCTGCTCCGCCTTGTAGCCCAGGGCCTCACCCTTCTGTAAGATGGTGACTTGCTTTCTTCATGCGGTCTAACTAGAGGAGCAAACACCAGCCTCTCTCCACACCTGATGGAGCAGCAAACTGGTTTTCTGGTGTTTGAATTGGATTATTTTTAAGAATGAGCCAGTTTACCTGGCTTATACTGAGTCCTGATCAAACACCCCGGATGACAAGAATAAAGTCCTGAGTTTAAATCAGCTGCTCTGCCGTATGGAGAGGGATTCCTGTCAGACGTCCAGACTTTGTGGTGAAGACATCAGATCTGTTATCCTGAGCAGTTCAAATAATAGATACCACTAACACAGAAGTGTTGCATCCACTAGCTAGCAGGAAACGACAATACTGTTTGATATATGCACTCCTCTCAGGTTGTGATGACTCAATATCTTACCTACATCAAAGCCGCTTGATATTAACGTCTGTCCTCGATGGGATCAAACCTTCCATCTGCGATACAGTTTCCACAACAAACACCTTCTCTTACACTAATTTAGGATTGTGTGTTGCCACTATATTAAATCCAATATCAATCCTTCCAACAGCTCGGCTTTATTCCCCAAATGACTTGTAGAGAAAAAATTTCAGCAGTTAAATACTGCACAGCAACAAGCCGCCTTTTATTTCCCCCCGGCTCATACACTTCCTTTGAATGTCCCCAACCTGTCGTTCTCCATCAAAGAGATGATCGCAGACCTCCTAATTGGTCCCATTCACCTCAGCGCATCATCCGCCGGCTCCTCGTTCAGCAATTACCTCCCACAGTATCTAAATCTGCCCTTTTCCACCTGCTTCTCCAGATCATCTTGTTGCTATGTGTTTGTTTGTTGTCAGGAAAAACTAAATCTGATCCTGTTTCTGTTCTTAAACTCATTATTTCTCAGTGAGCTGCAGTCTCACCTGCCTGCTCTTCTTACATGTTGTCTCTTTTTGCAACAATGCAGCATTGTAGAGACTTAAAAAATGTATATCGTTTTAGATTTCTTTCAGATTTGAGTTTCCTGTTTGTCCAGCTGAGTTATGTATGAAAACCATACAGATGACTGATGAAAATGCCATATAAGATCTGTAACGGATGCATCTCTGTTGTAAAGGCCGTAACGTCTGCATGACTGGGCGCTGGACTCAGATGTACAGCATTTATAAAGGATTACTGGTGGGTTTGGTGTTATCTGTGACTTAACAGGAGAAAATCCTGGGCAGGGAAAAAGCAATCCTTTCAAGAACAAAAGCTGAAAATTGAAACACAAAAGGGTAGAAATTATAAATGAAGTTCATTAGAGTGTATAAGTGAAACCAGCTCTGCATGCTCACTGTGAACTCTGAATTAATCTGGGAGTCAGTCACAAGGCCGACTGCTGAGTGCTGCTGGACTGTGAAATTGTTGTCTCACAGACTCAGACCTTCTCCGTGCCGTTTAGGAAATCACTCACATGTTATGTGAAGGCAGCCCCTCCACAACCGTCTGTAAAGGTTCTCCTCCTTAGATCCGTCTTTTCTGATCTTGGTATTTATTGTGTGTGTGTGTGTGTGTGTGTGTGTGTGTGTGCGTGCGTGCGTGCGTGCGTGCGTGCGTGCGTGCGTGCGTGCGTGCGTGCGTGCGTGTGTGTGTGTGTTACTCACTGATACTCCCTCTGCTGTGAGTAGTGCTGGTCTCTGCGCTCCAAGCTCTGCTCCAGCAAGGCCCGGTTCTCCTTCAGCAAGCTCTGGTTCTGCTCAGCCAGGTGTCGGTTCTCCTCCTCCATGTTCCCCTTTAGCTGTGTGAGAAGCTACGCAGACGTGCGATCAGATGTTACAGGTTTTATTCTGTGCATGTTTATGTTTTTTCACATCAGAGTGATACAGGATTTATTTGATTGAAGCGAGAGCATTTTTAATTCATTAAGCATTTTTGATGATCTAAAATAATTTAAGCCTGGTTTATTATTCTGAAATGCCACTACAAAATATTTGCTGAAATTTTGATTAAAAAAAAACATTAATGCCTTATAATAAGCTACTAAAACGTTTAGTTGGACTTTAATACCTGCTGTCATTTTACTTTATTTAATCCAAGGTTTTCTAGTAACATTTTATTTCACCACTACAGGAAAGAAAACTCCTGCACATATTTTAGTCTTCGGGTAAAGAATCTGTCTATTAAATAGATTTAAAAAATATTAAATATGCTACAAGGTCAGTAAAGCAGGAGACCTCAGAGCTCTCTGTGTGTGTTGGTTTAAATTTACCTGGATACCAGGTTGAAGATCTGAGTTGATCTAATAAACTAAATCATCAGAGATGTTTGTAAAACTTGTTTGAAGAACAAACTTTCTGAACCTGTAAAGCAAAAGGCTAAATGCTCTCACACACAGACCAACTGGAAGCTTAACTGAAGCACCAAAACAGGAGAATCGAGTCCCACGGTGTTTACTGCAGCGTTTAGATCCAAGGTGAAGGTAAGTAAACACATCAGGTTTCAAATAAAAGGCAAAGAGAGGTAATCTAAATAGATGCTCACAGCTTATTTATTGAATTTTAAAGAGTATTCAGATCTCATACCAGCAGAAAGCTAAACGTTGACTCAATATTGCTGCTAATTACCTACATGTATACCTCTGGCCAATTATTATGTCCTCTTGCAGCCATTTCTGTCAAAAGCAGCTCTGTCGGTGAGAAGTGCTGCAGTTTCAGGTTAATTGCTGGACCAGAGAGATGCTGCCGTGAACTTTGCTTCACGTTCCCTCTCTACATTCTCACATAATGAGATCTAAGCTATCACGTCTGTCTAATACGGTACCCAACACTGTACAGGGTGGAAAAAGTCACTTGAGTTGACAAAAAAGCTGATCTGGAATGGAAAATCTCTCATTACACCAGGAAAGTAAAACAGATACAAAAGTGGTTATTTTTTTCTTTATTTTATATTATTTATCTGCTATTTTTAGCAAAAGTTTAAAATATTGTGAAATGTTGGATTAGTCCTGTACTTATTTTAGATGAATCTATAATTGTTTAAATATTAAAACCAATAAACATTTCATTATTTGTCAGTTTAACAACTAAATTCTTGTTAAATTAAATATGACATGTTGAACTATATAACTGAGTCTTTTTGTTAATTTGGTTAAAATCAAATCCAACTTAGATGATGAGCTAAATTTACTTGATTTTTTGATTCTATGAAAAAATGTACATTTTTCATAGAATCGGTCAAAGATTTGTTTCATTTTACTTGAAGTCATCCTAGAGTGATGTTCTCCTTCAATTGGAAACTGTTCTTTGAGCCTCTATAAATCACATGAAACTTTGTTGGAGCTCAAAAAGGCCAAGCACAGCCCCATAATGACACCCGTCAATGAAAATGTTTGTTTGCCTCCCCCACTCAACCAGGACATGAATGTTAAATGAGCGCCAGTTTACCCTATTGGCTCTATGGGGCTGCCTAAAGCTAGGAACTGTGTGTGTAACGGGGTGTGTGTGTGTCCCGTAGCCTTACTATGCTGAAATGGACCGCTTGCTGCAGTCTGGTTCCAGCATGTTTTAAATCATGAACACAGCTGATTTGTTTATTGTTTAGTGAGGAATCACTCTTGTAGACACAAAGGAAGTCTGGGAGACGTTCCAGCTGTTAGATTAAGGTGTTATAAAGACGAACGCACAGCGAGGAGACCAGTTTTACTTTTGGTCCTACAAACGGACATTTGGTGGTGCAAAAAGCAAGCCCAAACTGCCCAGTTCCCCTTTAAACAGCTTCTCTCAGAACAAACTGTTTCTCTGTGGCCATCGCTACATTATTAATTTACATACGAAAGCAGGTTAGAGACGGCACAGGCTTCTTGCTGTACTACATTACACACGCCAAGCTGCCTATATTCAACAAGAACAAGGAAAATATGGTTTTAAATTCTGGTGCACCTCTAAAAAGCTGTGTAGTCTGCAGTGATGTCGTGAACCAAACCAGTTCATTTCAACCATCAAATGCCTTTTAGCAGACCGTTTCCCAGTGCCAGGTGATTCAGAAGTGGTTTCATGAGCTGCTGGGAGAGCAGCAGAACGACACATCTGCTAGTTGACTTCCTAAACCTTTTACAGAAAGTCGATTTCCATCTGTTTCATCCGTCAAACGTGTTTAAAATGTTTTCAGCATTCTGTGCTTTTTTGACAGTATTATACTGAAGCTTTATTAATGGTAAATATGCTTCTGCTCCTTCAGAGAGCTGCTTAGTATTCATTTTCTCTGTGAAAAAATATATCATTTCTGTATGATATGTCAAGCTGAAAATGGCTTTTATATCACGGATTAGAGATCAGCCAGCTACTGCTCCCCACTTACAATTTTATAGCTTTTTCTCTGACATCTGTATGACATACTCTCAAACCTGCAACAAATTCCTATTAAATTTCTCAAAAGTTGCCCAAAATTATTGATATGTGTTTGTTTGTATTGCAGTGGGTAATGCATCTTGATCGTGTCCATTATGAAACATTAACTCATGTGTTGCTCGGTCTGTTGGGAATCTGCAGGATGCTGTGGGTGTGGATGTTTGGGTCTCATTACCTGGTACTGACTGGTGAGTCGAGCACTGCTGAGGTCCAGACTCTGATTGGTTTCCCTCAGGTCGCTGAGCTCCCCCTCGAGTCGGGTCCGCTCCAGCTGGGAGGAACTCAGCTCCGCCCTCAGCACAGAACCCTGAGCCAGCAGCTCCGCCTGTGAGGCCAACCAGTCCTTCTGCTGGGCCTGCAGCCTGCAGCACCGACACACACACCATCACTGCTGCGTCTGCAAGTGCTTTAGTCACACTTTGCTAAGTGCCCTCAAACCAAAGCTCAAATTATCATTATCATAAAAAAACTACAAATCCTTACACAGCTCAACAAAAGCTGACAAATAAATCTGACAACATCTTAGACAAATTTGTCTGGGAGCCCATTAATAAGTCCCTAAGTGTTCATGAAATACAGGCAATCGTCTCTGTTTATTTCAGATAAATGGGAGTTAAGTTCAGGAATAATAATGATCGTTTGCTTTATTTTAGCCGTTTGTCCGTCTGAGGGGTTTACACCGCTCATCAGTCACAGACTTCTCTGATGTCTGACGCAGAGCAGCTGCAACACTGGAACCATTTCCTTTTTGTTGCCAAAAATGGTGTCGTGAGAGTCAACTGAAGCAATAAATTTAGCTAATCAGGCTACTCGGTCACACCGACATCAACAGCCAGAGTCTGTCATGTCTTGCTGCAGTGGTTCCCAAAGGTTGGGTTGGCACTCCGTGACAGGTCACAAGGTAAACGCTTTAGGGTTTTGAGATTGTGTTTGATGCAGTGTTACCAGAGAATCTAGAAAATCAGAGCTAACTGACAACAGATAGTCTGATTCACACAGCAAGAGTTTAAAATGGTTTTTCTATGTTTTGACTGACTGTCAAAGCATTAGAGATCCCACGTGTGGTGTTAAAAAAATCACGGATGTTTTAGTTTTAGGGCTACAATGTGTGGTGAGCAGCAAATTTTCTAACACTAAACAAGAACTGATTTCACTCACGGGCATTCCCCACTGAGACAGGAAATATTGTGAGATAAAACGTGACTTCAAAGTAAACAAACGTGGTAGACAACGTGCATGCAGCACGCTCCCATCATCCTTATTGGCTAAACATCACATTCAGCAGGCAGCAGGTTCATTTGTCCCCAAAAATCAGACCAAGACAATCCAACATGTTTGAAAGCCCAGATTTATTATCTGAGCGCTCCTGATGTCCTTCTGAGCAGACAAGAGCGCTCGTAACACACCACACATGATATGATTATCTGGTAAAGTTATCTTTAGAGCTGTTATGGTAATCATGTGCTTCTTTAATGTTGTCAGAGGAGGCTGGGCTTGTGCAAAATTGGCATGAATATCCAGCCATGAGAATCAGGCTTGACTTTGACATTTCTCAACATAAGATGATCTTATTTTGAAATGCAATATAAATCTGACAATTACTTTTACCTGTCAATTAAGTTCATTCAAGAAATTAACCATTTTAATCACCTCTGAAATGCGCCATCCTGAAAAAAATCTCGTCCAATCATTGTGCACGTCTCATTCTTAATGATTAGATGATAACCCCTCCATCAAACTGCTCATCTGACCTCCCGCCTCTACAACAGGTTATGCTTTTATGGATGTTTGAGAGTACCCATTGTCTGGGTGGTGTTATGATATATTTGTGCGACCATCAGATTCTGTGACTCTGGGGGGAGCCTGAAGGAAGGGGAATGGACATTAGAATTGGTTTGGGTGTTTCCAAAATAAAGCTTTTCAAAAACATACATTCCACCTTTCATTGATTAGAAAAGTTTAAAGTTTAAAGACAAAAGAAGCATTTCTGTTCCTTTCCAGTTGACGCAGCACTCACTAAGTCTTCAGTACTCACAGTGAATTGTGTGACTTTGCATTAAACTTAGAAATAAGAGGAAATGTGTTTTATTAATATTATTTACAGCAGTCAGCTTAAAGCACTCAGGAACACATCCACACCTCTGCACACAAAAGTCAGACTGTGCAAACTAGAGCACAGGGTTGAAAATGTGCCAGAAGTGGAGCGGAAGCTACAATTTCACTGCACAGAACAAAATGCGCAGCTCTGGGTGTGCATGTTTACACACCAATTTGTGCATCTATTTTCTTGGCATGCAAACTTGATTTGGTAGGAAATGAAGTCTTGATTTACTGGTGTTGACGTGCACTCATCAGAGGAATTATGAGAGTTGGAACTCTGCATTTCCAGCCTCTTAGATGTGGAAAACCTCAGCCGGCTCACCTTCAGGCTGATTCAGTCAAAGTCATGTTTCCAGCAGAACAATGACAAAAAGTTTTGGTTTATCGGAGGACAAACTGGTGTATCAAGGCTATTCCCATTCAGATCTGCATCCAGTCAGAGACTTTAGCACATAGAAAAAGCTTCAGCAGCTCATAAGATGGTTAAACTGCCTGTGGAGGGATGTAAAGGTGGCTTTATACATGAAAAAGGGATTAATCACATATAATCAAACCACCTGTATGTTCATTACTCCTAGCTCTATTACAGTAGCACATATGTGCATGCACATAACAGTCATGTATTTCTGCTCGTCATGTGCAGTCGTCATCCTGGCAGCCTGTCATTAGTAACAGTCAGCAATCAATTACATCCGCATGGTGATGACTGATTAATTAATTATAGTACACAAGCATCTTATGGTGATGATCATTATCATTATATATCCATCAGCCTCAAGAGGAATTATAATCAGGAATGCTCGTTTTGAACTGCAGATCCTAGTGAGCCTGGCCTTAATCCTAAATACCCTCCAGAAAACGCTTTAAAACATCTAAGATGGTTCTGAAAAACCCAAAGAAAACATCTCAGGGTATAACTCCTTTATTCTCTATTTACTTGTGACTTATGAGTTTTGTTTTTGCTGTCTGATAGAGTGAAGTCTTGTTACTTCTGTTCTCAACCCAAAGGTCTGCGATCAGGGACAAAAACGCACCCAGTGCATTATTTAGCACATTTGCATTCAAATCGATTCCTGTATTGCTCGCTGTGCTTCATATAGAGGCATTACCGCTGCTGCTCTCTGCATTCGAATGAACACAAGTGCTATGAAAGAGCCGATCAGATCTCATGAATGCGATGCTGAGGAAGCTGTCTGGATTAGTTACCTCTCGTTGTCTTCCCTCAGCCTCTCCAGCTCTCGCTCTCTCTCTATCCTGCTCTGGGCCTCTTCTTCCATCTTCTGTCTCTCCGTCTTGATCTCTTTCTCTCTTTCGTCCAGCTGGGTTTTACTGTCCAGGAGCTCTTTGTACCTTGAAAATGTTGAAAAATATTTATAATTGTCTGCTGCACGATCATGGGGAGGTTTGTAGGTTTCTGTGTTGTTCCTGAGCATATTTAGGGTTTAGGGGAAAGAATAGTGCTTCAGGTGATTAAAAATAATAAGGATTTTATGTTTTCCAGTGAAAACCTCTGCACACACACGCGAGGAGTATACCTCGCCTCCAGCTCCCTATGTTGAGCCTCCAGGCTGCGGTAGTTGCTCCTCAGCTGGGAGTGTTTCTCCAGCAGTTCCTCCAGCTCCACCTCCTGCTGCTGCTGCAGAGCCGTCATCCGCTCGTGATCGCGCCTCAGAGCCTCCATCCTGGACACGGACTCCTCACGCTCCCGCGCCCACACCTTAGACTCAGCCTCAAGGGCAGCACAACGGGCCTCACTCTCGCTGCTGCGCGCCAGAACCGTTGCATGCTGGGAGCTCAGAGAGGCCTGCTCTAACTGAGGGTGTGTAGTTTTGGAGAATGTGAAACAGAAGAAAAAGACCAAGTTTAAGATTTGGTGTGTTCAACAAGTTATAGAATTTCTGCATTTTTTAAGTACAAAAATAAACTATTCTATTAAATTTGTTTACAAAACGGAAACATAAACTCAACATAACCCACTGACCTTTGGCTTCACAGCCTTGTGCACCCTGAAGGATGATTGGAGCACTTGATTGAGAAAGAATCAGATATAAACTGGCTCTGTGAAACCCCGTGGGTCTCTAAATTATTGTCAGTATGCTATTTCCCCCGTGCATTTAAATGTTCATTTGTAAAATTGGCAAAATACAATAGAAAATACTCACACTACCTTCTCTGTTGTCTTTATGGAACAATTTCTAATGCTGGCCAATCATCTCTATGTGTAAAATTATTTCCTAAAGGGACTTCTGAATTGTTTTTAGTGATTTTGGAGTAAAACTAAAAAATATATATACTATTTTATCAATTGTTTTATCAATTTAGGGCTCTGTCGCTTTAAGAAAACAAGCTGATGCTGGCCACGCCCAGTCGTGCCCCAGCCATGTGCCCCAGTCAGAAGCTTCGATATCCAGGAGGGGCTCTAGGTAGAGCCGCTGCTCCTGGCACATGAGAGATGCATCCATGTCTTTATTAGAACATCTGATTACACTGATTTAATGGCATGCTTCAATACTTTTGGCAGAATATAGGAGTTTCATGAACAGCCACTGTGAAGAGAAATCGAGTTCACACCCTACAGGACTGACAAGCTCACAGCTAGTCAGAATGCAGCCAATGAAAGGGGACTCTGCCACCTTACTTCACAGCAGATCACAGGATTGTCAATTTATATAACTTCATACCACTGTCAAATCTATATTATGTGTTTATTTAATGGAAAATTTGTGTTTTGAATACAGCCATAAATATCAAAAAATGCTGTAATTTTGGTGCATCCAAGGTTAAGCAAGGTTGGTTTTTTTTCATTTACATTCATGAAAACAATATATATAACACAAACTGAAAGCAGTGTAAAGGTTTACGAAATAAAAACTATTTTTGAACATCTGGTTTTGGCTCTATCAAGACTAGCGATTAACTCATGCAAATCTTTTTTTCTTTGTGAAGCGCCTTGTGATTTATTTCTAGAGAGGCGCTGCATAAAAGATCCTTTTCTTTCTTCTCTTTCTACGCGTGGGCTGCACGGTCGCACCGTTGCCACGCAGCAAGAGGGTCACAGGTTCTAAACCCAGCTGTAGCCTTTCTGCCTAGGGTTAGCATGTTCTCCCAAAGCCTGTGGGTTTTTTAGTGATGTGAATCTTTTGAATGGCTCACTCTCACAGACATCAGTAGGGACACCCCCCACCCCAAGAGATCGCTTTGGTTTGTTCAAAAGAGCAAGTGTTCTAAGTCCCATCACTGGTGATTTTTCTCCGGGTCTTCCGGTTTTCTCCCACGGACCATTCATGTTTGGTTAAACTGTAAGTCACTTTGGATAAAAGTGTCTGCTAGGTGAATGAACATAAACAGTTTCTCCATAGGAAACCATCGACAATAGGTACAATGGTAATTATTAAAAGCACAAAAATAACCCAAAATACCCTTTAATTAAAAATATATATAAAACTCGATTTGCTTTAAGATGGGAGAAGTGGAGGAAAATTTCAGTAAGTGGTGACAACGTCTTTTTCTCTACCAGCCTACTGCAGTGTGAGTGTGTTGGATCACCTGTAGCTGAGTGTTGAGTGTTTGTAGTTTGGTGCAGGAGTCCTGCAGGCTGAGGGAGTGCCGACGCAGAGCCTCCAGCTGCTCCTTTAGGTGCTCACACGTCTCCTGGGACTGAGACAGCCGCATCAGCAAAGCCTCCTGTCCTGCCACTGTTACCGCTCTCTGAGGGAGAGAGAAAGATGTGTTTTAAGCCACACACACAGAGCCGAGCAAGGCAGCAGCTGCATCGTATGGTGTGTGTCATCTTTGTCACGTCTCTGTACTTTTAATTAAACTAAATCACTAGATGACCTTTTAATGACTCTCAGTAAGGTAGGACTTTTAAATGTAAGTGACTCTTTCTATTCTATAAATGATGTCAACATTTACTCTTATATGACTGGTGGAGGAGATCTGATTACTGACACTGTGTTGTCTGTCCTGCTGGGCCGATTAGGAACTATGACCAGTACTAACAGGATTAAGTAGATCAGTAGAATTGAAGAAGACATAAAAGCATCATATGCATATGCGCGTGGGTGTGTGTGCATGCTTGTGTGTGTATGCAGCTCAGTTTTAGTGTGCAGCAGCTCTTCTTTTCCTTTGTAACCTCACATTTTGGTGTGTGTTTGATAAAGCACACTGCTGACTCAATCATACACTAATGATTTCTATTTTTGTTCAGGGCACTTTACATATTTTTTTGCTTATTCACAGCAAAAATTCACCATCTCACTTTAACTACTGATGTCACAATGTGCTTTGGTCCCCAGCTAAAAAGGAAGATTCTTGATTTTAGTATCAGAGCTGTAACCGCTGCTTCCCCAGATGAGCTGTAAAGCTAAAACCCTCTTAATTTTTTATTTTTGTAGCTTTGATAAGAAGACATGCTGGAGACAGTGTTTCATTTTCTTCAAATCAAAAGAATAAATCAACCAAAACTCATCAAACTGTGAGTTAAATGGCATACAATGTTTCTTATAATTTGCTTTGCTTCATATCTTACCTCCTGTAAAAAACCGGATTAAAAATAGTCAGCAAAAATAACATGCATCTACTAGCTTTGCTTTGTGCTCAACAACTGGACATGCCTGGTAAAAAGTAAAAAAAAAAAAAAAAAAAAAAAAGCTTTTACAAAAAAAAGTGAGCAAGGTGTTGAAGATCAAGGGACTTCTCTGCTGTTTGTTCATTAAAAGCCTTTTTGTTTTATATAATTATAAATTGTATTGTCTGTAGTTTTAAATGTCATTTCATTCTCACTCTCGCTATCATTCTGGTTATACATTTTTACCCATAACTTTGTTCAAATATATCTTCTCTAAATCATCTTTCTTGATAGAATAAATGTCATTCTTATTACAAATTTATAATTGTTTAGCAGCTTTCTGAAATGCGTTTCTTTAGCATCTTCAAGGAGAGGAGGAGGAGGAGAATATGAAATATAACTAGCTACTAAAGGGAGACAGTCACACCCACCTATATCTGGACCATGGGTCCCTGGAAATAAGAAACAATGAATCCAAGTCAATGGGGCTAAAAAAGCTACTCTAATCCTGTTTGTTATGTGCCATGGATTTCACACATGCTGTCCGTGAATGTTAAAGACAGTCTGATGCCAAGAAAGCATTCATTTTCAAACATGGGCAAAAGGTATTTTAGGTTTTGTGTAAAAACACTTGTAGGTCTACAAAGGTTCATCTCACCAAATTAACGTTATCAAAGAGACACAAAGAAGAGGAGAAGATTAGCTTAGCAAGCCAAGAAACACTCTTCAGGATGAATCGAGGATCATTAAACGTGGAGAAAACCACTGTAAATCTGGCCATGTGGTGAGCAGCAGCTATGCTGGGGGAGGAGAGGTTCTGCTGTGACGTCATATGTGCAATGTCTGTTTTGTAGTCGTTTTAATTACGAAATGTTACAAGCTAATAAATCTTAAATTACGTGACAGACATAGTCAAAACTCACATAATTACTTTTTATTTCATTTTAAGTACAACATATGTGTGATTCTTCTTCTTCTCCTGGCACTCACAGAGAAGAGACGCTTCTGCTTTGCTCCCTTATCTGCTTTTCCCAAGGCTCTTTTGTCCCGTCTGCCTACAGAGCGCTTCTCTGCATTTCCTCTGGAAATCACTATTTTTCAGCAATGGATTTAATTAATTGGTCATTCAATGCGATTGATAAGATTTTTTCTACGATGAGAACGGAGGAGGGGGCTCTCACTTGCCCTCACGGGACACACGCAGCGGGATATATGCTCGATTCCTGGAAGAAGTGGAATGTCATATGTCTCTCTCAGCTGTCCATTGAGGACGTCGAAGATGTGTGGATATTTGGCCTGATGATCACTGGATTTCTTCTGATTGGAGTGGGAGGATATCTGGTTTTCCGAAAAATTGGGATGACGGGAGTGATTGGAGGGCGACCTGCAACCATGGACGGCACTGTCCGGGCAGAGACCTCACAGACTGGGACGTTAATCGAGGTGAATCACAAGCTGGACAATGTCTTAGCTGCGTTACCGGTGTTAATGCGCAAAATGGATGTCATCTCGGAGAGGGTCACCGGACGGTGTGGAGATGTTTAATCACCGAATTGGCTTCACTGGAGGATTTGAATGATCAATACAGACTTTAAGGCAGAGAGAAATATTATCTCTGCCTGACCCAAACAAAGTCTTGTTATCCGAACCTGACGCCATAACAGCCTTGGAGTTGCGTGCAAAAACCCCCACGATGGAAGGAATGCAGACAAATGCTGTGAAACCCTACCTACCCCCCCGCCTTCAGATTGTGGTCTCTGCATCGAGTTCATCAAGTTGAAGGCACTCACTGTGCTCTGTGCTTTCCCGTGACCTCCCACCCACCTGTGAATTCAGTTGGCCGAGCGCCACACAGGCAGCTCCCGCTGAGGAAACCAGGGTCCCAGCCCCTCCCCCCTACCTACCGGGTCTCACATTGTGAACTGTGACGTTCGTGCTTATATGTTGGGTGTTTTTTTTTGCATAGTAGAGCTACACCCTGCCGGCGTAACTCTGTTAATGCCTTTTTCTCCCTCCCCGAACTCTCCTCATGTAATCCCCTCTTCATCTATTGAAATGAGCGCCGTCATGGCTGCTCTCGTGGTCTGCCTGTATCTGTCCTGTCTATATGTGTGTGTGTGTGTAATCTTGGTCAGGCTGTACTGTGGAGTCAAGTTCCTATGCTCTGGTTCGCTGGAGCGCTGGCAATAAAATTCATTCTGATTCTGATTCAGGCATCGGATTCAGGGCGTACAGCAAAGCGGATCAGAAAATAGCTTTGATAGCTCAGTTCGTTTGCATTCATTCCCCCCACGCCCTTCTGGAAGGAGCTGAGAGCCATACCTCTTACAGGTGCACACTCTATCATAGCAGTGCAGCACTAATGGACAAGTAATATTTCAGTTATGTTCCTGCTCACCTGACACGCAATGTTAGCCCACTGCTGCTAACACTAACAACAGGCTAAAACGATGTAATGTACCGTATGGTCGAATGCTACACTAATCACTTTGCTCCAGTACACTGAAGATAAATCCCTTTTTGTTAGCCATAGTTAGGTTGAAATTTACAGACTAACGTTAATTCAATGCAGGTTTAGTTAGCAATCAAGCTAGGTTGGTGTGCTGAGCTGACTGAAGCATCTGTGTCACCTAATAAAACCCCGTAGTGCATGCTGGGAACTGGTGTTTTCTTGCTGAATGACGGCTCCCTCTTGCAGATACACGACTCTATTGGTCAGTGCTCTAGGTTTGCAAAGATGATTTGTTTAACTCTAGAGACCAGGGAGGGGTCTAGGGGAAATAAAAATCTTGAAAGATTACCTACATTGTGTCATTGAACAGGTTCAGGCAGAAAAACGTAAGCATAACGTTCCTTTTAAGTTTACTACATAATAAACCATGTACTCCAGCTTTAAAGTCAGATATATGAAAATAAAATGAAATACTAATAGTAAATAAAAATCTAGCTTTAATTTGAAAATCTATAATAACCTGTTTTATTGTAATACGTCACACCAAACGAGTGGCAGAGGAAGCTGATTGATGCGTTCAGTACATAAATACTTTCACAGCTTCATCTCAGTATTTCTGATTGAACCAGGAATTAAAGCCTGAAGCTGTTTGTGTCCCAACGACACACTTTAGCAGCGCTAATGCAGCACCACACCAGCTGGGAAATGAGTGGGTGAAATTTGTGACCTTGGCGATGATGCAGCTGCCCCTTACAGTGGGATGCTGGACTTAATGTGTGTTTTTGAGGCAGAGGGAGCGAGTGTGAGCTGCAGCAGGAGAGCAGCGGAGGAGATAAGGAAGATTAACAGTAGCCGAGGTGACATTTTAAAACTGATGAGCTGCGATAAAACAGGAGTTCCGGAAATATACCAGCTCACTCTGGGAAGTGGCCTTGTGTGAGCTGATAGCCGTCAAGCATCCCTGAAGCAACGATTTCAACAAAACACACGCCTCTCACACACACACCTCTTTCTCCAGCTCCATCACTCTCTCAGTCAGCTGCCTTTCCGTCTCTCCTGTGGTGTGACGGCGGGTCGGGCAAAAGCCTCGATCTCTTCCAGCTTCAGGACTTTCAGCCAGATGCGACATCTCGTTTGTGGGCGACAGTTCTGATTTTGAGCCGAGAAGAGATTTGCTTTTCTTTATCTGCTGTGAGAGGGTTTCTACTTTCTCCTGCGACTGCTCCAGAGAATCTGTTGTCGCCTTGAGCGCGTCGTTGGATCTTCGTAGTTTCTGGTTCAGAAGCTCAACCTCAGAGGCCAGTCTCTGAGTGCGTGCCCGCTCGCTGGATAGATCCTAAAGATGGAGAAAATACACGTGAAGAGAAATATTTACAGATCATAAATTTTGAGGAAAACGGTGAAACGCAGTGCATGGTTTTGTAAGAAAAGCTAATTAAAGCCTTCAACAGTGCTTGTCTGTATTCATCTGTGTGTTCGAGCCCTTTTCCACTGAGCTGATTCTACATGTTTCATCTATAAGTCACAGTTTGGGACTTTTGTTCCACTCAGCTGACCATTGCACTGTTCAACCATTTCCCTTTAACTCCAATGTTCCAGTATTTTACTTTTTAAATATTTATTTGACAAAAGGCAGAAGGTGGAGAAGGTTCTCCACTGATGTTACTCGTATCAGACTTTATCTAAACTGGATCTAATCTGAAATTCCCTCCAGGTTTTATATAATGGCAGTGAGATAACTTTAGCTGTAAACAGACACCATATAAAAAAACAACATTTATTTTATAAATCAGATTTCTTTCCACTTATTTATCACCACTAAAGCCAAAGCTTAGGTTCAGAATGACAGATGAATGTTATGATGCAATCTTTACAGAGGAAACAGATTTTACATCGTCTTGGCAATGCCTCCAGCAACACTTAGGACATCTTTTGCAAAAATAACCTACTGAAACATGATGTGAAGGTCATGTTCAGCAGGTGATGCATCTTATTCTTACAGTTAACAAAAATCAACATAGCAGTTTTTGCAAATAGAGACCTTATTGACAAGCCTCTGGCATGTTCTGAAAGTCGTTTCAGCCAAAACATCATCAGTGATTTCAAATATTATCAAAAGAACAACATCCAGTGTAGAAGTGCAAGATCTCCTAGTTTAACATCTAGATGGGGGTGAATTTCACTCATATTCAATCCTGCAGAACCACTGAATGATAGTAACGACTTACACGTCAACACACACACGCACCTGAGACAGTGAACTAATCGTGGCCTGAGCCTCTGCATGCTCCTTCTGCAGCTGCTGTTTAACCTCCTCCATGCTGCTTAATCGAGAGCTGAGCTCTTTCTCCTGGTCCTGCAGCTGAGTGCAGAGCTCCTTAGACTCAGAGAGCCGCTGACACACACGTCTACACACACACACACACACACACACACACACACACACACACACACACACACACACACACACACACACACACACAGCAGAAACATGGGTCAGGCAGAGGTTGATTGAAGGTGGACTTGACATTACAGATAAATGCGTGGCACAACCGAGAGGCTCTCTCCGACGCTTTGTAAAGTTAATTGCGTGATCAAGGTTAAATGCAGGTGCAGCGGTGCGTACCTGTGTTCAGCATCCAGAGCACAAGCTCTCTGGTTGCTGTGCTCCAAGGCCAAGTTCGTGCTCTCCAGCTGTTGCCTGAGCCTCGCCGTCTCCCTCTCTCTCTGCCGCCCCTCCTTTCTCTGGCCGTCCAGCTCTGATTGGCACATCTCTTTCTCCTGCTCCAGCCGCGATGCCTCCAGCAACGCCTGGTCTCGCGCTCTGACCAAAGCCTCAGCCTCCAGCGTGGACTCACGGAGCTCGGCCTCCAGCTGCTCCTCCCGACGGCGAGACGTCTCCAAACTGCGCCCCTGACGTTCTACCTCTGCTCTCAGAGTCTGGGAAGTCAGCTCCGACTGGTCGCTCTGGTAAACGAGGAAGGACTAATGAAAGTTGTTTTACTTGTTAATGAACATGTGAGATGAGATACTGGTTTTGTTATCCTCATATGGGAGCAAATAAGAGATTTGTGACTTATGAGTTCAGTTCAGTTGGCTCACATCATTAAATAAAGCTCTGCACCAAGGAAAAAAACAAGCGAGTATCAACGGGAAACCAAATCAGATTAAACACCCGTCACAATAAAACCTCTTCAGCACAATACAGCTTCTTGGGTTAGCTACGTTAGCTTGTAGCTACATTGGTTACATTTGTTCCAACCCTGTTCTAAACGTAACAGAATTTTTACAGGACCCTGATTTAAAAGATTCAAACTATCTCTTCAAAACTGCATTTTAAAAACCTTAAAATCAGGCGGATTCTGTCTTTCCTGCCTGAACTGAACAGACGAACAGAGCTTTGGTTCTGTTTCATCACGAAGTAGTTCAGTAAGCCCACACATCAACAAGAGGGGAAGAGGATAAGCTGTGATTCTCTATTTGGGTTATATTCACCCCTGAAGCTGAATAAAAAAGAGTGCACTTCATGTTTCATTTAACATTCACCAATTTAATCCCCACGAGCTCCGGCGTCTCCTAGTTCCAGTGGTCAGGATGTAAAGTGTAACACAACGTTTTCTGTTTCATGAAGTGAATCATCAAATATTCAAAAGGACAAATTTTTCATTTGGCGCTGACTTTGCTGCTGTACGAATAAAGTTATTTAATTCATAAACCATTGACAGCGGAGGAGTCTCTGCTTTAACATTTAAAGAGTTCACAGCTGGGGTTAGGTTTCAGTAATGAAGGAAACATATCTGCTTTTTATCACGACTGGGGTTCACTATGAAATGTGAAAAATGAGGAAAAGCAGCTGCTCTGACATTGGTTGATATGTTTGATGTTGCATTTTGAATTTAGAAGAACAACTTTATTCAGTCTGGTGAATTTAAGGTGTTTTGGTGCAGTGGTGTTTGTGTTATTAAATGCTTAGCTGCAACACAACACAGATCCATTTTTTCCTTTTCTGAAAGGAAACACAAAGAACAGAAGAAATAAGTGATAAAAGGGATTATAAACCAACCTCCTTTATGGTATTTTTTCTAAAGTGGACTAATAAGTGCTCTTTTCCCTAACTTGCAATTTTTTTCTTTTAGCTTTTAATATCTTTTTCATCGAATTTTACATCAAACACAGCCTTCAATTTACTTTTTAGGAGGAAATCTTTCAGAATAAATTATTTTGGATAAAATTTGTTTTAAAAAGCTGTTTCTAAGGTTTCATCATTAAAATAACCTACATAAGAATCAGTTACAAATTTGTTTTTCTTCCTTTTGGAAAATTCAGGCTTAAATTAGATCTGTTATGACAAATCGTGCGTCATTATGCTTAAACCTCCCTCCTGCTGAAAAATGTCACTCTGCAATAAAAACAGCTCAAACATATCAGCTCAATCACGTCTGATAAAATCACGTGTTGAATAATCAAGTTATTCTTATTATTTTTCTCTGTGCCCATCATCATCAGTGATAAAAGTAAAAATTTCCAAGCCTATGAGTGGACTCGGCCCAACCTTGCGCTGGGCGGCGCGCAGGGCGTCCACCGTGCTGCGTAACGTGTCCCTGTCTCTCTCCAGAGCAGCACGCTCCCCCTCCAGGGAGGCGATGACCGTGGTCTGCATCCTGTGGAGCTCCACCTGGCTCCTCAGGCGGCACAGCTCCTCCTCCATCACCAAATTGTCTGACTGAAGAACCTGAAGACACCACAGCAGGAGAGTCTTTAAGCAGGGGACTTGATCAAACACACCAAGAATCACACTAATCGTTTAAATTAGCAGGTTTCAGTTTTCACTAATTAAGTACTTTTGGTTTCCTCGTTATCTTTTCTTAGTTTGTTACCTAACATTATAAACCCCTTTTCTTTAAATCTAAAGAATATGGGTGACGGTGGCACGGGAGTTAAGTGCTCGCCCTGTAATCGGAAGGTTGCAGGTTCGAGCCCCGCTCAATCTGTTGCTGTTTTTGTGTCCTTGGGCAAGACACTTAACCCACGTTGCCTGCTGGTGGTGGTCGGAGGGACTGGTGGCGCCAGTGCTCGGAAGCCTCGCCTCTGTCAGTGCGCCCCAGGGCAGCTGTGGCTACATCGTAGCTCATCCCCACCAGTGTGTGAATGTGTGTGTGAATGGGTGAATGACTGATTGTGTTGCAAAGCGCCTTGGGGGGTTCCAGGACTCTAGAAGGCACTATATCAAATACAGGCCATTTACCATTTAGCATTTAAACTAACAAATGGTCCCTTTTCCATCTCTCTGTGTTTCTCACAGCTGGGAATTTGCCTGGTTCTGAGTGATGCTCCAGCTGCTTCTCTCCTCCAACACTCTGACCTGGGACTTGTTCGTTAAACTCTGGATGACTAGCTTGTCTCTGCTGTGCAGCCTGCAGATCTGCAGCCTCTCTGACCCGTCTCAGATACAAGATTCTGGTGCTCCACTCGCAATTAATCCTAGTTAATGTTCTGTGTGAAGCACAGTGTGTGTGTGTGTGTGTGTGTGTGTGTGTGTGTGTGTGTGTGTGTGTGTGTGTGTGTGTGTGTGTGTGTGTGTGTGTGTGTGTGTGTGTGTGTGTGTTTAAAGGCACACTGGTTTAGATAACCATTACATTCTACAAAGGGTCTGCAGCCTGCTGAGACGTTATTTTGAGCTAACACGATGCTAACATTTCTAAGAAAATTACAACATGCTGCTTTGAACATCAAGGCTGAGAAGCGATGCTGTATTTGTGTAATTTTATTAGACAGCTGGAATTATTTTCACTTAAATTCAGGAACAAAGCAAAGTGATTTCAGCTCATCATGCCTGAATATTTCATGAAAGTCTTGCATATAATATCCTCCTGACAGACTGAGCCCACTGTGATTAAACATGAATCTTTCTTGGGCAATGAGTGAATTAAATCAAACATATTGAAGTATGAGACAACCCTAACAGCGTTTGATCCACTTCCTCCTCTTCCTCCCCAGCAGAGCTACCTTCGCTCACTGACTCTGTCACTTCCTGCTGCCTGATATTGATTTCTTCATCTTCACGGCCCAAGGTGCGTGACTGAAGAGTTTGCAGCATCCTCTCCACTCTGCTCCCGTCTCTCAGTCCTCCAACAACACATCATTTGCTACTATAGAATACACATGTGAGCTCTATTTTAAGCTGGACATGAACACATCTGTTCTTTTTTTGTTGTTGTTGTTTTTGATAACACTTGTTACTTCCTCCACAAAGAAATCCATTTTAAGGTCAAATGTAAAAGATAATCTAGATTAGCTCCACCACCCCTGATTGAAATGAGTGAATTCCTGCATTTACATCAGGTGTGCTGAAATAGAGAAACAAGGAAATCATGCATGTTAGTGAACCCACAAAGTACAAGTTGCCTGTTTGTCTTCAGTTGATACAACTTTAAGAAATTATTGGATGTAAGTGGCTTGTATTTTCATAGCATCTTCTATGGCTCTACAACCCCCCAATGGGACACCCCCTGACCACCACCAGCAGGCAAGGTGAGTTAATAAAGCCTGATCTATTCTTCTCCGTCGGCTCCGCGGGAGAAAGACGCACACGCAATGACAGACGTTTTGCTCTCGGAATTGTCCGTCACCTGCGGAGTGTTTCAAAGCAATTCCCCTCCAGGACAAGAGAGGGCGGAGTGCTTTTCTGTGGCATCATGTCACCAGTACACTCATGTATAGGGAGCCTAAGTCACGCCCATCTACTTCCGGACCATGGGTCCCCAGAAGAACGAAAAAATAAATGAATGGGGCTAAAAACGCTATTTTCTAATACTGCTTGTTTTGTGCCATGGATTTCACATTTGATGTTTGTGAATTTTAAAGATGCATATTGATACCAAGAACGTGCTTATTTCTGAATGGGATGAAATGCTAATTTAGGTTTTGTGTGAAAATATGTCCAGGACTACAAACGCGCTTCATGAAAGTGACGTCATCGAACCAGACACGGAGAAAAACAGAGGGAAAATGGCTGTAAGTTTGGCGAACTTCAAATCGTTCCTTCAGGAGGAAAAAAACACCATAAATCTGTCCGTGAGGTAAGTAGCAGCTACAGTACGGGAGAGGAGATTATGTGGTGATGTCACATATGCGACACGCCAATATCTAATTTAAATGGGGCGACGGTGGCACAGGAGTTAAGTGCTCGCCCCATAATCGGAAGGTTGCAGGTTCGAGCCCCACTCAGTCTGTCGCTGTTGTTGTGTCCTTGGGCAAGACACTTAACCCACGTTGCCTGCTGGTGGTGGTCGGAGGGACCGGTGGCGCCAGTGCTCGGCAGCCTCGCCTATGTCAGTATGCCCCAGGGCAGCTGTGGCTACATTGTAGTTCATCCCCATCAGTGTGTGAATGGGTGAATGACTGATTGTGTTGTAAAGCGCCTTGAGGGGTTCCAGGACTCTAGAAGGCGCTATATCAAATACAGGCCATTTACCATTTAATTTGAAGTCATGCTAATTACGAATGTTTACAAGCTGATAAATTTCTAAGTATGTGACAGTCGTGGTCGAAACATCCATCATTAGTTTTCAGTTAAATTGCAGTACAACAGATGTGTGATTCAGGGCGTAAGGCTAAGCGGATTAGAAAATAGCATGTTTAGCCCCGTTGACTTGCATTCGCTTTTTCATTCTTCCGGGGTTCCATGAGCCGACCGGAAAGGGAGGAGACTTAGGCTTCCTATCCAGTCCACAACGGTGTATTTATTAATGTGCTTAAATATTTCTGAGACTTTATAACACGGACAAATTTGACCCTCATTCTCCTCCACCTTTTCATGCGGTCGCCACCTCAAAACCCACGTTTTACGTCATCCACGAATAAAACATTTGCTCCGTATGTTGTACTCTTTCAGTCACGGGTGAATAAAACGTTTATATTTTTGGACTTTTTGTTCTTCAATCTATTCCGTGTCTGCCGCTAAATATCTGTTTACTGTTCAACGAGGCAACAGCGGTGCTGTGGACGAATTACAGGTAGTGGCGTCCTGACCAATCACAAGCTTGCTGTCTACGTCACTTTCAACGGATATTTAAAATTTTTAGTAGGTTTCCATCACCCTCCGCAAGCCTGTCGGAGAGCCCTTGTGCCGACGCTAAATTTCGTCGCATGTCTCGACGCAGACAGAGAAGTATAAATCAGGCTTAAGTGTCTTGCCCAAGGACACAACAGATGAGACAGGCTGAATAAGACTCAATCCCACAAACCTTCAAGACAGGCACTTAATGTCTCTGCCTTTGTCTCAAAAACGCATTAGATTATATTTTTGTTGTACATTTTGTCCTAAATTAAAATCCTCAAAATTGGTCAAAATTCTATCATGAATTTAAAAAGCCAAATAAAAGCTGCTTTAATATTGAGTTGTTGGACCACTGCTATTTTCTTTTAATCATCACACTACTTACAGGTGAAACTCAAAAAAATTATAATATGGTGCAAAACTAAATTTATGTCAATAATTCAACTTAAAATATGAAACTAATACAGGAGCCAGACTCGCAAAGCCAGATATTTCAGCCTTTTTGTTATAATTGTGATGATTATGGTGTACAGCTCATGAAAACCACACATTCAAAATCTCAGACATTTAGAATATTGTGAAAAGATTTAATATTCTAGACTCAACATGTCACACTCTACTCAGCTAATGAATCCAGAACACCCACAAATGGTTCCTGAGCCTTTAGATGGTCTCTCAGTCTAAGTTAGATTACTGACATAAATGGACTTTTGAATCCTTAATTCTCATTTTTCTAGTTTTACCTGTATGTATGAATCCTAAATGTCCTAACTAGAATTTTAGGAAAGTTCAGATTTATTTTTTCATGTGATAATCTTTCTGTACCTCGATCTGCCTGCGAGCCTCCAACAGACTCTCTGCAGCTTTCTTCATCCTCTGCAGCTCTGCCTCCACCAGCATCAGCTTCTGCTCAGCCTCCCATGTTTTCCTGCTTTGCTCCACCAGCTTGGAGTGCAGATCTTGAGTCAGCTTGGCCTGATGGTCAGCTTCCTCCTGGACTTCCTGGAGCTGATGTGTTAGAAGCTCCACTTCAGGATTAGACGGGGAACACGCAGCTGGGTGTGTGTGTTCTGAATTATCCTGTAAGAGAGGCTGTAGGTGCTCAGAAATAGGTGATGTTGCAGCTTTTTCCAACTTTAATTCATTTTCTTTCTCCTGCTTCAGCAGCTCTTCCAGCCCTCCTTCTGCTTCTCCTCTCCTTTTGGGCTCAATCTTTTCATCACACCGTTCTCTTCTCCCCTGTTGAATGTGGAGACCCTCCTCGCCCACTCCTGCTTCTCGATGTGCCCCAATGATTTGTCCCCTTTTCTCCTTCTCCCCCATCACCCTCACCCTTCCCTCACCCTCTCCCCTGCAGGTTTCTGAGCCCTGAACTCCTCTCACCACCTTCTCCTCCTCTTCCTCTCTAACTAGCTTCTCAACACCTCCCTCCTTTCTCTTGACTTCGAGGTGTTGAAGTTTCCTCAACAGCTCCTCCAGGTTCCGCTTTAAAGTGGCGTTTTCATTCTTCAAGTTTTGAAACTGAAAAGTAGAGCGAGAAAGACATTTTAAAACATTAAATCTTGATTTTTTTTCTGTCTTTTTTATAAATTAAAAAATAAAACGAAGTTGAAAAATGTTGTTTTCTTAAACTCGTCTCAACTCAGATAAATTATTTTAAAAATTATAATGCAAAGCTCAGTGAACCACTGGAAAATACATGCTATTACTCTGTGTGAAACATGAGTATTTTTTTTACTATCATAGATCTAAAACAGCTGATGTGACTTCTGCAGGTAAAGCAGTACACCAAACTGAATATAATCACATTTATGTGGAGATGGAAAACATTTTATTCTTTAGGATTTCTATATAAACTCTTAATAAAAACATGTTTTTTATTCATACTATTTGACATGCATGGTTCCAACTGATGTTCTTTTTATTTTCTAATTTGAGTACTGATGCAGAACTTACTTCCATGCACCAGCAGCACAATAGAGTTTAAATTCAGCAGTCAAGCTGTGATTGAAGCACAGATTTTCAGTTTGAGTTCAAGAGGTTTCTAAAAACGGCTGATTTCCTTAAAGCAAAAGTCAGCATAAAAAAACCACTTGAATAAAAGCTGAATATCTTCATTTCAATCACTCTTGATTGCTTTAATTCAAACATGGTGGAGGAAATACATAAATTATGTCATGTTGAAAAATGCATTACTTTGGCTCTGTATTGTAGTTATTATTTATGATGTGTAATATTTACTTCCTGCAGGGTTCTCGTGTGTTTTTACAGTTTTAGAAGCAGAATTCACCCTAAAATGTTAGAGGTGAAAAATATAATTTATATAATATTTCTGTAGATTTTCACAACCAAAAAAAAACACAGGAAGACGTTTTATCTTTTTGTTGTTATCTGAAATTTTAGCAGCAACTATTTTGTATTATGTTTTACTTTATTATGATTGTAATCCTGACTGCTGCAAATAATTTATGAATTAATTTAGGGCGTGTGGAGTGTTTACGAGCAGTCAGGGTCTTACCTGCAGAAGGGCTAGAGTTAGTTAGTTTAAATATTCAATCACTTTTGAATGTTTATGTTTTCAGTATTTTCTACATAAAGCCCACCTTGACAAAATTACCCAGCTCAGCATTTTCTGACGTAGTTCCACCAGAGGAGAGGAGCCAAATATTGTTATGTAAGGGAAGTATTACTTTAATGTATTCTTACCCACGTAGAACTCAAATGTAGAAATGACATAAGCATTACTAAAGTAACTATTTGATGATTTTAAAAAGCTGCTCAAGCTGTTTGATCGTTACTTATTTTCAGCATGATTATTAGATAAATAAGGACACAAAGCAAAGTCCTGGTGTGAAGAACAAGATAGAAAATAAGTAAAAATAACTAAATTATAAAATAACAGCTGAAGGCAACAGAAACACATTTCCAAATGGCTCTTAATCACAACAAAGCTTTAGAAACCAATCCTTCTGAAAGGTAATAGCTAGAACGGCCAAAAGTACTGCCTCTGTTTACTGTAGATAATTCACTTGACCTTCAGCAGACACAGCAGCGTCGGCAGATTTAAATCAGTGTGTGTCTGCTGCAGCTGCTGGGTTAAACCTGCTTTATGAGTGGTGATGAAGAAGATGAAGAGGTGGCAGAGTAACTAAAGACTGTACTCAAGTTAGTGTTGTGATACTTCTCAATAAACTTTTACTCATGTGAAAATAAAAAGTAAAATTCAGTAAAAGTACTCCCAGTTTCAAAAATGTACTCAAGTAAATGTAAGTAGTTACTGCCCACGCCTGAGTTCTACCTGTGTAATACTGAAACAACTACTATTACCTGTGTTTATGCAAGTAGTGGTGTTCATGAGTCGGATATAGAGGAAGAAATATTCATTACAGACATAACTCCTATTGGGATCAGCTGGTCAGGTGTACAATCTTTTCTGCAGCCATAGTGCACACAGTTACCATAGCAACGCAAACGTTAGAGATGAGAAAGAAGATATGTAAACTGAGTGCAAGAAGTGCTGCATGAATCATTTCCCCAGTAAACACAGGTTTCATTTTGACTTGCTACTCTGCTAAATGCAACCTGCTCAGATTCACATAATCCCTAAACGAGATTAGATCGTTGTGTATTTTTTACCAGCCCATACTTTTTTATACTTTTGCTAGGCCATTTTCAAAGCAAACGTTTTGCAAAAAATAACCAGAGGTGATATTAGAGCCTTGCTCTGATGAATCCAAAATATCATTAGTATGAAACTGTCTTTAGAAAAGTATGTGAAAATGAACAATGAGCTCATTGGCACCAAAAACGAAGCAGTTACTCCAGCTTGTGTTTTGCCTTTTTACAAACTATGCATGCTCTTGTTTTGGTGGAGTTTCTTGCCAACCAGTAACTCCTGAATTCAAGCCCAGAGTAAAAAATTGAACTTTTGTTTCTGCTCACCTCCCTGAGTGTGCGCTGATGCTCCAGCTCCAGGCCGGCCAGCTCATCTTTTGCATCTGGAGAATCGGCCTGCAGGAAGAAAACACAGATTCATTTGTAACAACATGTAGTTTCTATTTCATGCACAACTTTATCTGAAAGTTTGTGTTTATATGAATCATGCTTGACAGTTACAGTGTCCAGTAGCGGTTTTAGGCACGGGCAGACAGGGCAGTTGCCCGGGGCGGCATTTTTTCATGACACAAAAGGGGCGCACAAGCGCGGAGTAAAAAAAAAAAAAAAAAGGAAATCTGCGCCGCGCCGAGGTTTTCTATTATCTGTCATATGACAGTGTCTGGATTGGAAACAGCAAGTTGGCGCCCCCTGCAGTTGCAGGCGCTCCTGCTGACTGAGAACGTTCACGTGCACCGTGTGTCTATGAAGAACAGGAAGGGGAGGGGTGCGGCGGGGGAATTCACCTCTGCGTCTTTCCCAAATGAAATGAGCGTGCAGGGGCTGAATCAACTGTATTAACATGGCTAAAGTCAATCACATCTTAACGTTCTTCCATATTTCATTCATAATATCATAAACACAGGCCTATCATTCTTTCAGGTTTCTCTGAATTGTGTGAAATGGCCGAATAAAAAAAGGAAAAACAAAAACGATTTTGTGGTCACCCCCCCATCAAGGTCAAATTGTTTCGTCCTGACTAAAGGAAACTTACTGAGTCAAGAGCCAAACAGAAGAGATGAACATAAAAAGGCTAAAACCACCAGGTGCCCCATTCAGGGGGAAAAAAAAGAGGAGAAAAATAAAGGTATGTTCGCTCTCATGATGCATGTTTTCAATGTTTTGAACCAGTTAACGGTTAAATGCGGTCACTTAATTGCTAACAGAGCTAATAGGGCTGAAATATTGAAACGAATATTCAAATGGTTTGAAAAAAGTCCTTGAATCGTTTTTTACTGATTCAAACTAGGATTTGTTAAATGCTCACTGCAGCCTGTGGCCTGCCTGAACAGCAACAAACACATGTTGATCATGTTCACATAATAATAAATAAAACAACTCTACAAGCAGAAGAAAACTCCCTAGTCACCACTAACTATCCTGTTTATTTATTGCAGATGGCTGCACTGATTATTTTTTACATGATTTGTTCTGTAAAAGTTGGCATTTTTGGTAGTCTACAGTTTTTTATGTCAGTTTAAATTACAATTTCAGAGGCAATTCTAAAACATCATGGATCATGATAAAGATCTATTGGAGATCTACCCCAACTTTTGGACTGCTCTGCCAGTCACTGTGGCTCAAGCTGAGAGGAGCTTTTCAAAACTTGATCAAGTCATACCTGAGGTCAACTATGTTTCAGGGGCGGCTCACTAACCTGGCTCTGATCAGTATCAATCACTCAGTAGGGGAGCAGATTTCATGTGATGACATTATTGATGACGTTGCATCAAGGAAAGGTTTTAATTTTAGTTTGTGTTTTCTGTTCTAAGTGCAATGCTGTAGTGATTATCTTTAGTTTGTTATGTGTGAAATATTTTTGCTATTTAGAATATTTATTATCTATTATGTTCATATATTCTTAATATTTAGTTATTGTTTGTTTTTGTATATTTGATTCTATATATTTTGATACAGTATATAATGTACATTGCTTTACATTCTGACAACTTCATAGTAATTAATGTAAATATGAGCAACTTAGAAAAATGAATGTTCAATAGTCGTTCTAATAAAACATGCCTGTTTGTAGAAAACATGCGTGTGTTCATGCAGGTGGGGTGGTGTGGTGGTGGTGGTGGTGGTGGGGGGGGGGGCGGTTGGGGGGGAGGGGGGCGCTCAAAGGGGGCCTCGCCCGGGGAGTAATTCGATGTAGAACCGCCACTGACAGTGTCATTGCTTTAATACCAAAGTTTATAGAGCTGCTGACCTCCTGCTGAGCCTGAAACTCTTCCAGTCTCCTCCTCAGCTCCGCATTCTCCTGCTCTGCTCCAAGAAGCCTCAGTGTTGAAGCTTCACCCACTTCAACACTCAACGGCTTCTGATCCAAAACTGATAAAAGAGAAGTAAAGTATAAAATCTATAGCACAAGAAAAAAAAGGAGATTGTACAGTTTTTGATTTGGATTTACTTCCAAATATGTTTTCTCAGTAGTTGAAAAATATATATTAAATGAGAATATACAAAGAGGCAGGTTGCGCTGACCAATCAGTTCATGGAGCTCCTCGTCAGAATCCAGTTCTGATTGGAGGAAACGCTCGTGAATGGAGACAATCTGAGCAGTGACGCTCTTCTTGGATGTTCGTCTGTGCATCAGGTCCGCCTCGAGGGTCATGTTCATCTCCAGCAGCTCATCAACCCGCTGCCTCTCGGTGTCCCGCTCCTTTACATGAAACACACACACACACCACGGTCCTTAACACAACACAATAACACATTTTCTACCTTTTTTTAAGGTTGTAAAGTTAAAGGGGACATATGATTTTTTTCTTAAGTTATAGTAGTCCTATGGTTGATACAAAACATGCTCATTTGCACTAAATCCCTCTCACTTAAAGCAATTTGAATTGTTTTATTCTTGACTGTTTAATTTTCAGGGATCTGTCACTTTAAGAAAACAAGCTGGAGATGGCCACACACACGCACTGTCACACCCTGTCCTGTCTCCTCATTGTGTTCAGCCATGTGTCTCTGTTAATTGCTCTCACCTGCCTCTCGTTTTCCAATCACCCAAGCTCCCAGCCCTCTTGTATTTAAACCCCTTCTGTTCTGTGTCTCTTGTTGGTTCATTGTTTCATTGTCCAGCGTGTGTTCATCATTAAAGACTCTTACTCGTTCTGGTTTGTCTGCCTGCCAGCTTCCCTCACCCGCATGTGGATCCTTGTCACCGCTACACTCACCGGCACGCGCTGACACACACACACCCAAGCTGCTATAACTTGAGAGGGTCCAATTTCTGAAAGGGGCTCAGAGTAGAGCCGCTGCTCCTCCAGCAGCTCTTTTGCACTTGAGACAGGTTCTATGCTTGTGATGTCACAAACGAGGGCTTTTTGAACCAACTCATTTTAGGCACACAATACCTAAAACCAAGCATTGACAGGAAACAAATGGAAGGCTTTTTTATCCATTTTTTGAGTATTAAAGAGGCAGCAGAGACCCACATGGCAGCACAAATAGATGCATAATTCGAAATGGCTATAAATGAGCAAACAAATGAACTATTTTCAAAAACAAAACTGACAAAAATATGCATTTAGACATTAATCAATGGATCTGTGAGGGAAATTATCCCCACACACCATTTCCACGTCCATGAGCCTCTGACGCAGCAGAAGATTGTCTTTCTCCAGCTCCCGTTGTGAAGAGCATCGTGCTCGTGCGTCTGCCAGCTGTTCGTCCAAAAGAGTTTTTGTCTCCTGCAGTGCTGCACACAGCTGCTGCTGCTCCTGTAGCAAAGGAGATGTTAAGCGGTGAATTAAGTCACACCAAACATTAAAAATATGAAACTTTTTATGCAGCCTTGGCTTTATGTGTTTTATAAGCAATAATATGTAATTTTCCCTGATGCATCATACATTCAGTTATGCATATTTTGTTGAATGTGCCCTTGTTAAATAATTTTTAAACGTTGCTTAAAGTTCTAAGGCTACATTTTAGATGCATACAATTATCTTTGACTCCTGAGATTATAACAACCAGACCAGGATCGGAAATTTGTGATGATTAATAAAATGCTAATGTTTGAAAGAAAAAAAGTCTTCCTGCTGTTGAGCTGTCACAAGGACACAGCAGGAAGAATGAATGAATCAAATAAGTTTGAGGGGGGTGCAGTGAGGACAGTGGGAGGTGTTTTACAAGGATATGAGCACATTTTCTGCCTCAGAACATTTCTACTACTTCTGAATAAATTTCATTTCATTCATTCCGGTTCCTAGTCAACGAAGATGCTCCGAGCTGTAGATCCAGATGACATCATACAATAGTACATCATTCTCCGGCTTTCAGTTTCACCATCGTTTCTGCTCACTTTGAGAGAAATGTTCGGAACTATGAGGGAAAATAATAAAGCTTTTAAGATCAAGGGGTGCTCCTTTTAAATAAATAACAGCAATGCAGAAGTAACTTTCATAAGGAGCCGTCTTGATGAAAGCTCCTGGGATCACCTCCATGCAAGGGTTTTATTTAGTAAAGTTTAAATGCTGGGTTTTTTGTATGAAACCCCTAAAAAGAACATTTGATCTGGTGCTGTAGGGGATATTTTTACATGTAACAAAATACTCTAAATGCCTTCTGTGAAGTGGAAGTGGCTGCTTGTTTTCTCCCTGGTGTCAGTGGAAATTCTCTTGTTGAGCTGTGTGTTTGCAGTTTTGCAAGCGTGTGTGTGTGTACCTTCAGCTGAGTGCGCGTGAGCTCGAGGCTTCGCAGTCTGTGTTTACAGGTCTGAAGCTCCGTCTGGAGCTGTTCGGTCCGTGCAGCTCGCTCTCGAGCGCAGTCCAGCTCGTCCCTCAGAGCACGCATGCCCCTCACCTCGGCCTGCAGAGTGCGGTTCTGGATGTGCAATAGCACAACAACACAGAGAAAATACACTGAAGTATATGAGGGATGTGCAACAAAGATGATTGGATGAAACATTTTGTCCATTTTAAAGTGTTTTTGTGTAAATGTTACAAATAATTACTTTCCCACTTAATGATGGCTGCCTAGCTGGACTCACTTTGGAGAAAGAGTTTACATTCTAAAGGATTGATTAGCTAACTGCTAGTCTAGTGCAGCCAACACCAAAGTGTTCTGCTTTCATCTTAGAACAGCTTAGTTTTCGCACAATTAACATGACTGAAATTTTCATTTGGGTACAAAAATAAAATTATTTATATTCTGATTTTCAGCTGATTTACGCATAATAGTTTATATCAAAGTGTCCGTATTGAATGTTCCCCTATAAAACATAAACATTTAAGTAAAGAGATGCCAAGATGTTCCAGATCCTGACATAAATGGCGTTTTTATACTTCAGTCAGCTCGGCCTGGGCCGGGTAATATGCCACTGACGTAACTGCGGCGCATAGAGGTGCGGGTTTCTATTAGCAACAGGAGAGGGAGGGGGAAAGGGCAAACATAGCGAGATAAACACGGAGGGACCAGACTCAAGTTTTTGAGCTAAACTACATGGTTAAGTACATAACTCCACATGTGTTCATTCATAGTTTTGATGCCTTCAGTGAGAATCTACCAAGGTAAATGGTCATGAAAATAAAGACAACACATTGAATGAGAAGGTGTGTCCAAACCTTTGGCCTGTACTGTATTTCCCAGATTGGTTTGCTAGGTGAGACCTGCCACTTTTACTGATAAACAGTCTTTCTGCTTAACTTCTCGGGGTAAATTAGTCAAATCCTTACAGTTTAAATTTACTGATGATAAAGTTTCTTACTTTGGCCTAAACTCTGCCTGTGACCTCAATGCCATTCTGTATTTGGACAAAAGACACAAAAAGCATAAAACAAAACAAGTGAAATGTTAAGCTGCTTTATCATTCTTGGTCCAGACTTATTTTAGCCTGTAGTATCTCCAGACTAGCCTAGAGATGTAACGTCTACAACAAAATAAGAAGGGATCTGAGTGTTGAAGCTTCATACGGATCCACCACAACATTAAAGCCACTGACAGGGAAGTAAAAAACAGCTTTCATTTTGTTGAAATGCAAGAACCCACTGTGTGTCTCTGGACATGGTGGACATGGAAAAATACTGGCGACCCTTTGCTCCTTTTGCACAACACTGCAAAAATAAACCCTAACTGGACGAAAAACAAACTTACGCAAGACCAGGAAGCGTTTGAGAGTTTGAGCCGCCTCCAAACTTCTCAAATCCTTTTGCAACATCCTCAGTAAAACTACAGCCAACAACTCAAACTTCACATGAACCAAAGGATCCAGAACAACGTCTGGATGTCTGACGCCTCTAGACAGGAGTGTGAGAGAGGAACCCGAACAGTACTAGTCTGATTATCTTAATCCTACCTCTGGTTTTAGCTTTTGAGGGTTATACCGACTAATTTTTACCAATAAGGTTATCG